GAGGGAGAAAGAGAGAGAGAGAGAGAGAGAGAGAGAGAGAGAGTTTGAGCTATATGAGGTTTAAAAGTCGTCATCATGAATCTGGTGTGTGTTTACATCGACCTGGTTCCCCTGGGTCTGTTGGACGCCACCCACTGCTGCTGTTTGTCTTTCTCCACTTTCTGCTTTTAGCTTGCTGACCTCCTCTCCCCTCCAGAGATGATGAAAGGCCTCATACTCACTGCTTTTATTTATCCAATGTGCATTTAAATCAGTTCTCACTTAATCCTCATAATACAGTGAGGCTCTTAGGGCAAACGGTCCATTTGACAACCCAGAGAAGTAGCTTTATGAGAGCATGAGGCTCTCAGGGCAGAATGGCAGGAGGGGAGGAGCCCAAGGCCCTGGGGCTTCTCACACATGGTGAGGGTTCTTCCTGAAGTGCACTGGATTCTGCGTGGGAACTGCCTCTGAGCTTTCTGCTCCTTCCTCTCTTCCAGGACTGACCCCTCTCTACTCTACCTTGTGGGCATTTGTGTCTGAGTCTGTTTTCTCCCTGGCAGAGTCCCACGCCTTTTGAAGGCTGTTTCTTGCTCATAATGGAATCTTACCACTTCCTGAGATCTGGACCTTAACTGATTTTGCTGGTTGTACTGGTCAGAGGGAAGGACAGTGATCTTCTGGAACCTCACAGATAGGAAGCTAGTATGTTTATGGATTTCATAGTTGGAAAGTCTAACTCAGGAAAGGAACCCTATACTCTTCAGACAATAGCTGGGGTCAGATGTATGCACCTGCATGTGTATCTGCGCTTGGCAGTGTGTTTGGAGGAGGGTGTCTATAAGCCACATGTGTAAATGGAGTGCTTAACTGGTCTAAATAATAAAAACCTGGAGTCAGATGTAGAAGAAAATGCTGAGAGATCAGAGAGAGAAGGAGGAACAAGCCAGAGCCACTTTTACCTCATTAGCTTCCCATTGGAAAAGAGAGCAAATTCCTGTTTCTTCCGACTTATATCTTCTCTCCACCCAGCTATCTCACTTCCTGTCTATCTATACAGATCTCCTGACCTCTATGGTTGGCTAGTGGCAAGCTCCATCCTCTGATCTTCAGACAAGCTTTATTTGTACAAGCAAGATATCACCACACATATGCTCTGTTGACACTCAGTCTCTCTTGAAGAGGGCAATTACTTACCCAACTTACCTTTGCCACATACTGATCCAGGGCCAGAGCATTCCAGATAGAGACCTCTCATCTATGCATGACCCACCTAGCAGTGTGTAGCAGTCTGGTCCTCACCCTTCAATCTTTATCATGGGTAGATAGTGTCTCCTCTTCACACTAGCATCCTTCCTCTGCTACAGGACCTTCCTAAGGCAGGTACCCATTTTGCTGGTCTAGAGGAGATGCCAAAGGAAATGGCCATCTCTTCTTTAATGAGCAACTACACTAAAAGGGCTCTAAGGCACACTTGAGAGCCCTCTGAGTCATTTATATCATTTCTAGGGAATCTTTCCCTGGTCCAGGGGGCATGGGTGACAGTGAGGAAAACATTCTTGGTTATTCCTCAGCCGAGGAAACACTGGTACCTGTGTCACTGAATTAGTGACTTTTGTATCACTGTGGCCAACGTATCTGACAGGGGGGAAAAAAAACTTGCTGGAAGTTCATTTTGACTTAAGCTTTTAGTGGGTCTCTCTCAGTCCATCATGGTGGGGATGACATGTAGAGTTCATGGCAGCAGCATGGGAAGGCAGCAGCTCCCCCTGCCACTACGGACAGGAAACAAGACAGAGGTGGGCCATGAGCCAGGGGCAGTAAAACCTTTAAACACTCACACTTCGTGTTCTAGTTTCCTTTCTCTTGTTATGATAAAATACTCTGACAAAAAGCAACTTAGCAGAGGAAGGGTTTTAGTTCACAATCCCGGGTTATAGGCATGCTAGCAGAGAGGTCAAAGGCTGTAGGAACTTAAAACAGCTCAATAACATGCAGAGTCCAGAGCAGAGAGAGGGAATGAGTTCAACAGGCTCACTCACATGTTTGTGCTCCACTTAGTTTCTCCACTCACACAGTTCA